GCTGTCTCCAGGCCTGCGGTGGAGAGAAATGTGCCTTAACCAGCGATCTTTGCTCTTCTGCAGGCCCTGCCATCCCGGTGGGTGTGGACGTGCAGGTGGAGAGCTTGGACAGTATCTCGGAGGTGGACATGGTACGCAGTGCCCTTGGTGGGGCAGCCTAGAGTGTGGGGTCTCGAGGTTAAGGTTCTGGGAGAGCCTGTGGCTGGTGGGGCTGCACTGGTGCAGGCTGTGCCTGGGTGGGCCAGGCGGAGCTGGCGGGAGTAACACTGGGACTTGGAAGTAGGTCCAGGTACAGTAAAATCTAAAGCAGGGGCTCTCAAGCTTCATGGGTAAAAGTAACTGGGGGACTTGGTTCAGTGCAGACCTCTGGGCCCTGCCCTACGCTTTCTGATTCAGAGTCTCTGGGAGTGAGGCCCAGCACTTCACACTTTAAACACACCCTTCAAGTGATGCGAGCGGTCAGATAACCCGCACTTGGAGGAGAATGGGAGGTGAGTATTTTCAGATTGAAATCCCATAAGGAAGGAAGCTTGCTGAGCTGTTTCTGTCTGGTCTCGCCCGGCTCCACCAGGACTTCACCATGACCCTGTACCTGCGGCATTACTGGAAGGACGAGAGGCTGTCCTTCCCCAGCACCAGCAACAAGAGCATGACCTTTGACGGCCGGCTGGTGAAGAAGATCTGGGTCCCTGACGTCTTCTTTGTCCACTCCAAAAGGTCATTCACCCACGACACCACCACGGAGAACATCATGCTGAGGGTGTTCCCGGATGGGCACGTGCTATACAGCATGAGGTAACTGCTGTGGGGTCGTGGTTTCAGTGTGCAGTGCCATTCTAATATGTGTGGTCAGTCTCTCTGGCCCTGAAGAGTTTGTCACTGTGGTTGGGTCTGTGGGCTACATTGGATGATACAGCCTTCGGTTGCCAATTAGAAATCTCTCAGATGAAATGGCCACCCTCTTAGCTGGTGACTTCCCTGTCATTGGGGATCTTAAGCTTGGGTTGGGACACCAGATGGGACTGAATGAGTTGAGGGAGGCAATGACCTTCTATGTACTTTCCATCCCTGAAAGCTTATAAATGCTAGTTTATTGGTAATAAAAATTTCTAAAAAACAGCTACTATTCATTGAGTGCTGTTGCAGGTTGGCTTCCGGGCTAACTTGAGTGATTGCACAGTTTTAGTCGCATCTTCCTGGCCTTCTTGTACAGTTCACCAGAATTAGATGCTAATACCTTCGGGTGGATTGTGGGAGGGGGTATAATCTTCCAGGTATCTCTGGGGAAGGCAGGCTGAGAGCCATGACAATAGAAGGTGCAGATGTGAGCTATTCGCAGCCAACAGGCTCAGTAGC